ATCAAGAACTGGGATATGTCTCAGTGACGTGGAGGGATGCATGAGCATCACAATAGAAATTAACCCTGATAACTATTATTCAAGCAATAGTAAAGCCAAATATCTTACTCATGAATGATTTTGTTAAAAACAATTTTTGAGTAATATGTGAAGCAGTTTTCATTAGTATCTTTGAAATTATATTACAGTGACGTTAGTTTCTATCAAGTGTTTCCATGCATAACCTTTAGATCACAAGTCGATAAACAAGCGTGACCCTCGGTCTGGAAAAGGTTAAGAACACCTGGTATAGGCCGAAGAGAGATAAAACTGTTTATGATTACATTTTTCTTTAAATTCTGGACGGTTTTTGCAATTGCAATATTAGAAACTCAATAGAGATATTAACGAGATATTAGAGATACTAACTGTTACGGCAATATTTTCAGAAGTATAATTATAAGTTGTGAATTTTTCTTAATGACATCATTACGCGATGCTCTACTGATTAAATTTATAATATATCGTCAAGATAACCTGTATTACTTAATAATATTTTCATTATATTTTTTAATATACAACATTAGAAACTTTATAAAAGTTACATATTTTTCGAAGTTATGTGATAACACCCACATTCAGGAACCTATAAATGTTAATTGAGGACAGTGTCAAATCCACTTCAGGAGGTCGTGAGTCCGCCATATTGTCATTAGTGACTGCATACAAATTAAAGGACAGAACATGAGATTGCCTGAAATTGCGTAATGTTTATGTTACATTCTATCAAAATATGTCCAGGGTTTCTCCGACTGAAACATGCGGTCATATGTATGGTCAGACATATTTCCGGGTTGTACAGAAACGACATCAATGAATAAAGGATTCTTACTTTTACAAATGTAGTTATTCCAAACTAATCGTCAGTCAAACATTATTTTTTCATAAATAACAAATAATATTATTAGGAATTATCAAACTGCTGTTTAGCTAAACGACTAAACTTCGTTCCAAATAAAGGCTTGCCAAATCTTATAATAAAAAGCTTATTTGCATAAACCTTTTTTATAGATGACAATAACCAAAATTAAAATTCATCCAATTGTTCTGTAGGTCTGCGTATCTCAATTAAGGTGACTCACAAATAAGAAGAAATTGTTTCGCAAAACTTACATAATATTTTCATATTATTTCTATATATAATGAATGACATGTATTCTTTATATGAAAACCTTGCCGAATCCGTATCTTCAACTTTGGCAAGAACCTCACATGTTTATGAGACAACGCGATGTTTCAAACAAAATTGTTAGGGTTGTGTTTTCCGTGCAGGCCAATCAGTTTTTCCATCTGCAGAAGCTACTACGGCATGACCTGCAATCAACTGAATAGCCTACTTGCCTTTAACGTTGTCGCGGCTGGAGTTATTACATACTCCGGCTTTCGAAGATGGGTCCTGTCATACATAGAGAATTAACCATAATTTAGGCAAATATTGCATTTGGGTAACGACCCGCTCTCCCACTGCACCAATCAGCACTGACAAATCCGTATTGACCCTATATAAGTCTCCCGAAAACTCCCAACCGTTACATATTCACCTTAAAGATAGCGAATCTAATGCTTGTCGTAATATAAAATAAGTAAACAAACAACTATTACACCATAAAAAAGACAATATTGCCATACGCGTTTCAACCTCAAGAGGTCATCATCAGTGGCATCTGGGAAATCAATTCATTTAATCAAATGGTTTAAATGATTGAGGTTGAAACGCGTATGGAAATAGTTTATTTTTTATAGTGTTAATAGTTGTTTGTTTGCTTATTTGATATTCTAATACACTACGCGGTATGCAAAGTGTTAAGCTTGTCGTAATGCTGATTAATTCTAAAAGTTTTTCATTACTCATCCCTTAAAGCCGATTTTGTAAAAAATAAACTGAACAGCCTCTACCCCTCCCAACTTGAACCCTCTCCTTTTGTCCATAGTTCGTAATGAAAGAGAATCAGACCACTCAGGGAATTGGCTTTTGTGGCTACTTCACTGACAAAAACACCGTTTTCATATTCTGATACCTGTTTCAGAGACGACCTAAGGTGAAATGGAACCTGGGAGACTTCTGTTATTGGAGCACCACTTCAAAACTTGAACTTCATGGAACAGATGCCTTCTCCAGAATCTAGGAATCGCTCAGACGGTCAACTGTTCACAAGAACCAGACACTGGTCCCGATCCTGATTCTCATGAATTTAGTCCAAACCTTTGCGTCTTATTTAAGATAAACTTTAGTATTATCTTCTCATCGGCCTCCCAAGTGGCATCGTCTCTTACGGTTTCTCCCTGGCGTTATATTATACTCATTACGTCACACACACTAAAATGACTACGAAGTAGACTATAACAAGAGTGGAAAGGATTTACCCAATGAAGTATGCCAATTATATGTTGTACATGCGCTATTTACGTGTTTCTATATTTCACTGCCGTGGGCTTTAATTTAGTCTAAGTAAAAATCTAGTTTTAGAGATGAATATTTGTGCTTGCAAAGCTAATCACGCATGAGCCGAGCCTTTTAGGTAACATGTTTCCTTAGATTTATATTTAGTATTTACAATCTCTTTAAATGGCATGTACCAATCTTTTTCAAGATGGGAACTTTTCTTTCATTTCAGAAAATTAATAAAGTTCGATTTTAGCTCTACGTGAAATGAAGACCATACGAACTAAAATTAAATTCGACCAGCTTTTAGCATAGAGAGAGGAGGAAATCGATCAGTCGAGAGCCAGAATCGACCGCCCCCCGCCCCCCCCCCCCCCCCCCGTTATAAATGTAATGAATAAAATTCGTTCAGAAGTTTCAGAGATGAAACATGCGGATGGAAGATCTTCGTTTATTTTTACACTTCGTTCAAAAACGCATTTAATCCATGTAAGTTATTTTGACTGCAGGCATTTTGAAACAAAACATAAGTGTTAAATACTTTTTATAAGCCCATCAATTTGACATTAGTACGTGAGAAAGGCCTAGTCCGTTTGTTTACGTATTTTTTCTTCAGTAAACAAGAACTCGCATTTCAACATTCGATTCTTAAGTCACATTCATATACTGCGTTCGCTGATAAAGTTGAACGCAACTGTCACTTGCCGGATTCCGGTTGGAACTGGTAACCGTCAAGTGTTACATTGTTTTCCCGATACGAGTCAAATATTGCTTCATAAAATCAAATCAAATCTACTTACCTTTTAGCAGCTCTTGCCGACGCCAGAAGGCAACATTTGGGTTCAACTTCTTCAATGAACTTACTGTACAATAAATTCTTCCCACACAGTCTTGTATACAAATTGTATGAATTATTGCTTTAGTTACCACATTTAATTAATTCAGTTTATCTTTATCTTCAATTTCAGCTTCAGTAATCAACCCCTTACATAGGCCTACTCGGTCATTTTATCACTGAATCATCACACGTCTTACTGAAAAAAACATTTTTCGATTCTCTCGGTGTATTTGACTTATCTCAAAACTGTTGTCCTGGCACTGTACACCGGCTTTGTGTTTTCATGTATGCTGCCTCTCATAACAATGTATCCTAACTCAAAAAAAACTGCGTTTCATCTTCTATAGTCGGAGTAAATCTGCGCGTTTTGAGTACGTAACTATCTTGCTGGCAGAAGGAAAACAAACGCATATAGCCTACTACTACATGTAAACCAAAGACATTACTGACACAAGAACAAGGCAGCGAGCTACAAAGTACTGCGTCTGGGAAATACTGTTTATAGTATGGCTAATACCCCTCTCACCCACCCCACTCGTCATTTACGTCTAACGGACATCGAACACGCAATAAAGAAGTAGGGTACAGTGAATCAGCAATAAAAACAACAGAAGAACAATTCAAATAGGCCTACTAATTTTAAATCTGTGGTCAAATGTACCGACTTCAATTGGTACGTCCTATCTTACTGTAGTCGTATTCTTTTGCACTTCTGGTCTGTCTGCTTAGACTGATACTTGATTAAATTATAATCATAATACAATATTACCAACACCAAGATTTTGGCTGCTCAAACACTAAGATCTTGGTTTCGAAACCCATTTCATGCATGCATTTTTGTCTGCGTCTCCGTATGTTATGCTGTCCCATGTGGTCACAGGCCTTGCGACGGACCGTCGCCTTGTCCAAGATGTCCTAACAGTTTTGAGAGAGTTCGAAAAAATGTCAGAAATTCCTAAGAAAAGGGCACGGTACAGTGAACTATAGAGCCAAAAACACACATCATCAGACTACCAAGATCAGCAAAAAAACAAAGTAATGTAAACTATCGCCTTTACCATTTAACATAGACGTTGTGAGACTTCAATTCATTTACGATGACAAAGAGGCAAGATGCATATCTACAAGGTATCTGCAGGCTAACATAAGTTTGTAATTGTTTTGAGACAGACTGTACAACTATCAGATATGAAGCAACATGGAATTTGATGGTCATGCAGTGAATGGCAGTTGCGCGCTGTGTAGATGTTAACCAACCCAGAATCAGTGCAGTCCCCGCTCATTGCGTTCTGTACATCGCAAACCAGGCATCTACAGTCACAGACAACGCATGGTCGACGAGGGCGCACATAAAAAAGTAAACAATCGGTGTGTTTGTCACCAGAATATTTAACGTGAGTAATATTGGGCTTAGACCACTTGAACACCAGTCCTAATCGGGGAATGTTTGTATTTCTGTGTTAACCTGTGCGGTAAAGACCAATCCCTGGACAGAAGAGAACTACCATTTAACTAAAGGTACCAACACACGCTCAGTTTTTTACTCAGTTTTAACTGCACGAGCCGGGACTACTCAGTTAAAATCTGGAGGGGATTACTTTGCAGTCTAATATTTGGATAGAGGAGCATTTTGAAAATTTGTCTGAGCAATCCACATCGTTGATGAGCCAGGATAGCTCAGTCAGTATAGTGACTAGCTACTGGCTGGACGATCAGAATTCGATCCCCGACTGGGGCAGAGGATTTTTCCTCTAGCCTCTGCGTCCAGACCGGCTCTGGGGCCCACTCAGCCTCCTCTACAATGCGTACCGGCGTCCTTTCCCGGGGGTAAAGCCGGCCGGGGCGTGATGCTGACCACTCACCCCCATCTAGTGCCGAGGTCAAGGAAGGGAGGAGCTATACCTCCACTCACCCCAAACGCCTACATGGCGTATAGTGGGACAAACTTTACTTTACTTTTTAATCCACATCGGTGTGTTTGTATTTAGGGAAACCCAGAGATGTTACCCCATTTATCATCACCTCGCAGCTGAGCAGTAAGCATAATGCAGTGCACTTTTTCTCGAACATAACTAATTTTCTAAACAGTTCCCCAGTGATGGCGAAGGAAATGGGGGAATTGGGCGACGGCTCAGGACCTGCAGTTGTTCGCGTGCCTCACATCTGCACTTGTATGTATTGGAATTGTCTTTTCCCATATTTTTCCGCATTTTTCTTATACTCCATGCACTTTTATCTGAGACCGACAACAACAAAGAAAGAACTGAGAAAATTGTCGGTAGTTTTTCAAATCTTTAATTATATACTATAATAATTGCAGTTATCCAAAATGCCTAATATATTTTTATGGGACCTCGCTAATCGAACTCGCCCAGGGTGTCTCATGACTCCGCCACCTCTGTAATTCTGTATTGATTTCATAGACTATTCCAAGCTGCGGAACGTCTTTTAAAAGAAAAATTTAAAAACTACGGCGACATACCACAAAAAAGGTGTAGCTTATAAAATTCTAACCCAGAAATTGCAAGACGCAGATTCTAAAGCAATCTGTAATACTGTTTTCAAAATAATTACTCTGATATTCCAATCTTAATCCTAATATTTCATGGGAAAAGAGGCCTACAGCTTGTCTCATAAACTACAGGCAACATTATAGGTGAATCCAGTAGATGAGGTTTCTTCAAGTGATGACAATAACACTGGAATTATATTTTACTTAATCTAATAAAGTTTAGTGGAAAACGTTATCTGCAGTTAAGTTTATGAACTGAATCAGTCTAATCCGATTAGATGACGACGTTGAACCAACCTCCATGTTCTATGCTCGGTATCTAATCTATATGTTTCTTCGACACTTCACAAATTAAAATGAACTGAGAACTTATAAAAAAGAAGACACTTAATTTTTAAGCAGGACCAGACTAAAATTCATTGTTAGTGAGGTATTATATCGATTACACCTATTTGTTTTGTTGATCATGCCTTTTTCATCAACAGTGATCTATCTAAATAGATTGTAATTATTTATCAAGACAGTAGGCCTATTTATAATATGAATGTATGGCATTTCTGTAAATAATTTTTAGTCTACTTGATTTGTTGATTTATAGTATTGGCCACATTAATACGGTTACATATATAAGCAATATATTTTTAAGATGTAATATCATAATAATTAAACACACACAAAAATTTACCAGTTTGTGTTATTGTCGTTTCTTCCAGTCTGATATTTTATTGAAGTATAATTTTATTTTTAATAGTTTGTATTTTAGAGCACTTTGTAACAAATGATTTATTGATGCTTAATTCACATAGATGTTTTGAAAGGTGAAATAAATTGTCATTCCACCTTGGACACTGTTGGTATTAGTCTGACTACAAGAAAAATAATATATTTTTGTACTTTTAGCATGAGCAGTGCACTGAGAAAATCCTTCAGCTGGTGCATTATTGCTACAAATGACATATGCAGATTCTTAGACAATAAGTCTCCTTTGAGGACATTTCCCTAGACACGCAAAAGTGTTCAAATTAACTAGGCCTAAAGCTATTAGTTTATTTTTGTTATATTACTTACTTTATGGAGCAGAGTCCTTCATGGGAAGCCAACAGTCGCTGAGCCGCTGAAGAATTTCCGAACATTTCATGGAACACGAAGGTTCATTAACGTGTTCACAAGAGCCCGCCACTTGTCCTTATCCTGAGGCAGATGAATCTAGGCCATACCCCCTTATCCTAGTTCTCTAAGATCCATTTTAATATTATCATCTTAACTACTTCTAGGTCTTCCCAATGGTCTCTTTCCTTCTGATTTGCCCACCAAAACCCTGTATGCATTCCTCTTCTCTCCCATGTCGGCTACATACTCTGCCCATCTCATATTCCTTGACTTCATCGGTCTAATTGTATTTGGCGAGGAATGCAAATTATGAAGCTCCTCATTATGTAAATTTCTCCAGCCTCATAGTAATTCATCCATCTTAGGCCCAAATATCTCCGTAGCACCCTGTTCTCAAACACCCTCAGTCTACGTTCCTCCCTTCCTCTCAGAGATCACACCCATACAAAACTACAGGCAACATTATAGTTTGTTATATCTTAATCTTTACGTTTTTAGACAGCAGACGGAAAGAGAAAATGTTCTTAACTGAATGGTGGCAAACATTGCTTGAATTCAAACTGCTCGTGAATAAAATTTTCATTTGTTACTGTCGCTCCCAAATATTTGGCACATTTTCAAAGGATCCGTTAGCTATCTTTATGTTAGGATTTTTCCCTGCAATGTGGTGATGAGACATTAACATTTACTTGGTCTTCTCTCTTTACTTCTAGACCAACCTCCTTACTATTATCAATTAGAGCTTCTGTGGTTTTTCTTTACAGTAATTATGGTATCTCCAAATAGATTTACATCATCAGGATAGACCAGAAGCTGATGTGTCCCATTTAACTTTAGTACCACCTGGTTTTCTTGGACCTTCCTAATTGAATATTCTGAAGCAAAGTTGAAAAGCAATGGTGATAAAGAATCTCTTTGTTTTAAGCCATTTTTAATAGGAAACGTGTCAGACAAATATTATCTAAATGGACTTTACTGCAGGTTCCGTTTAAACACATTTGAATAAGCCTAACTAGTTCCTTGGGTATACCAAACTCAATGAGAATATTGCACAAAACTTCCATCCGAACTGAATCATATGCTTTTTTGAAGTCTATGAATACCTGATGTACTGTTTCACGGTACTCCCATTTCTTCTCTATCATTTGACGAGTACAAAAAATCGGATCAGTAGTTAATATATTACGTCAAAACTCACACTGATGATCTCCAATAACTTTTCCAAGTGTGGTCTTAACATTGAGGGGCAGAATGTTGGATAAAATTCTGGTTCAATACAGTAATATGCCTCGATAATTACTAGTCAGTTTCTTGTAAAATGCTACAGCAATAGACTCCTTCCACTTCTGAGGCAATTCTTCCTCAATCCAAATAGAATGAAGGAGTTTATGGATCTCAGAACGTAATGTTTCATCTCATGCTTGAATCATTTCTGTCAAAATTTGATCACTACTTTTTCATCTCTGAATAGCAGATTCAACCTCAAAAGGACTAGGCTCACGTACTAATGGCTCAACTGTATTTATTTCCGTCTGCCTAACATCACTGACCATACATACATTCCGCAGCTGAGAGAAGTATTTTTTCGACCTATTCAAAATGTTGTGTGAATCTGCAAGCAGATCACCATTATCGTCTTTTATCAAGTTACTTCTAGGTTTACAACCCTTCTTAAATTCATTTATACCTCTGTACAAGTCTCTAAAGTCCTTGTTCTTACTGCGAGTTGCAATCACATTAATTTTGTCATTCTGATATTCCCTCTTCTTGTTCCTGAAATGTCTACTAGTTTCACGTAATACATCGTTTAAATTATCCCCATTGTTTGGCTCGGATCCTGTAACCATTGTATTTTGACTTGTTTCGTTTAATACGATAGTTTTAAACATCCTTTATCAAACCATGGTGTATGCGGCTTCAGTTCGTAATAACCTAGGCTCACCTTGGCTGAAATCTGTATATTCTCTCTAATGGTTGATATCTGCATCAACATCTAAGTTATCCAGAGCTGCGAACCTGATTGGGATTTTAACTTCATACCTCGCGTAGTTTCTTGAGATTGAATCCCTCCATATCAGACTTTTGCGTTTCTCGTTTACTGACTGCCAGTCTCTCCCTAACTTTCGCAACCACCAAATAGTGATCGGTATCACAGTCTGCTCCCCTGAAAGATTGAGCATTAAGTACACTTCAATGCTGTCTCCTATCCACCAAAATGTGTTCAATCTGATTGCGTCTTTTCACCAGAAGATGTACAAGTGCATATCTCAATGCTGCGATATGGGAACACAGTACTCTTGACAATTATATTTTGGAAGTTGCAAAATCTGCTACTCTAACTCAATTATCATTACTGTTTTCGTGTAAATTCTCGTTCCCACTTGGCTTCAAAATATCCTCTCTACCTACTTTGATATTAAAATCTTTTAAAAATATTTTTATGTGGTATTTTCGAAATACGTACAGAAATTATTCTTTGTATCACCAGTTTTATCTTCCGTTGTGGCAAGCACATTCAGAACGGTAATATCGCACCAACTGCCTCTTAGTAATATATACGACATCGTGTCACTAACAAACTCTACCCTCGTTAATTGCTGTTATGATTCTCTTATGTACAAAAAATCCTGTCCCCCAATTCATGATACAAATAATTTTGTGAAGTCATGATTCTGGGAACAAATAAATCTTTATACTCTCCCCACCTCCAATGGAAGATTACACTGTGAACACAGACTGTTAAACTTTAAACTTCACTTCAAGAGAAAGGAAAGAAGACAGACAAATAAATAAGTACCATGCGAAATCCTTAAGCTTGTTACCTACCTTGAGAAAGACTCATTTTTCATATCAATGAGATAAGGTCTGACTGCCAAAAAATCCCTTTGTTCTTGTGTTGTAAAGTTTTTATGAACAACTTCTGAAATCAGTGCAGTATGCGAGATTTCAGGTTCTCATGGCAAGTACGGAGATGGCTGTCTTGTGGGTTATTGCTCAGCGTAGTCTGGTAGAAGTTTGCTGATGTTTTGGTGGTGTCTGTTGCCTCTGAAACGTCAGTAAACTTCTACTGCACATCAACCGAAGAGACAACCACCTTCAATGCAGTATGTTGTGGCAAAGTTCAAACAACTTTCTTTGATCACAATAAAATGAGCAGTGTTTATTGATAAATATAATACAGCGGAATGGGGGAAAATGCCTTACTTTTGGTTTTACACATCACATCCGGCACAATTTTAGGAACTTTTATCTGATATGAATGTGACGTGTACTGACAAATATTCTGAAGCTAAAACCCAGTGTACACTACCACAAAATAATTTATTTGTGACTCAGCATTCCTTTTTCAAAAGGTTGACATTTTAGGCATCTCTCCCCGAGCACTGGCGCAAGATGCCAACATGCAAAATGACATGAGTACTCCCTTATAAGTATTCCAACAGAATGTTTAAAAACTCAAAATTAATGGTGAACATGTATTTCCCTGTCATTTTATTGTCTTATGATCATCTAGCGTTAATTGCTAATCAGTACAGTTTTTTTTTCGTATGGTGGTTAGCAGGATTCACGACCCATCAGTACATGGGTTCGATCGGGACCGCGACATTTAACGCTCCTACTGTGACCCCCTTTTGCGAAACGATGAAAGTGGAGTAAATGTTGGGATGCCACGGAGAAACCCTGGAGGAAAACTTTGTGATGCCTGGACCACGGCCTTGCCCAACACAAGTTGTAAATCTGAGCACCGCTGGGAATCGAACCCGGGACCCCAGCATTACGAGCCCATTGTTCTAACTGTTAGACCACCGTGGCAGTATCAGTACAGTTATTACACGCGTCTGATGCAGCCTCTGTTTTCATATAATACACTGAATCCAATCTACCTGTAGCCCATTCTTATTGTAGTATTTGACTTTACATGCTACACAGTTATTATTTTTATTCTTCGTTGTTGCCGTAGTTCACGTGTTAGGTCCGCAGGATTTCTGTCCTAAAGCAGCAACTTCCTGTCGATGCATTTTTGCTTGGTTTAAATTTTCCTTATCTGTCAGCACTGCAGATGTTTTCTTACTCCGCTCTCATAGCAGATCCAACACAGGGACAGGGGCAAAGTCCTCAAAAGACGGTTCTGCTTGGGATTAGTTTCCCACCTTTAGTTGTGCTGAAAATCCACTTTTTAATTTCCTGAGGAAGAACCACGTTTTGCAGTTTGGTACTCTCTGTCTCATTATTCTCATCAGGTGATCCAGACAGAAGAGCATCAGATACCGAGAAAGCTTCCCCTGGTACCTTTTCTGTACTATATGGATATACGCCACAGGTTTCAAATCCAGAATGGGTATTAGATTGAGTCGCAGATTTCTGCCAAGCCTCCTTCAGCAATGGTGCACACTGTGGTCTTAACATTCTGCGACCTGTGTGAAATCGTGACGAAACGCGCATTTCTTTGAAGAAAATGTGTTCCAGGAGCTTAAAGGTATACCGATCAAATGGAAGAAGGTTGTGGGTGGAATGGGGAGGAAAACAAACCACGATTATGTCGTTTTTATGAGCTAGTTCCAACATATCCTGGTCATTGCAGTGCGATGTATGAACATCTAGAATTAGTACTACTTTCCCTGTTTGTTTTCTTGGAATAAAATGCTCTATTCAGCCACTGCATTAATATGGTAGAGTTTGCAAAACCAGACTTTACATTCATGAAAACTTTTGACCCTTTGGGAAGAGAATCTTCCCATTCTGACTTTTTGTTTTTCTCTTTAAGTATGCAGGCTGGAGATATAAAACAGCCTATGGCACTGCAGCACTGTCTCCCGCTTTTCACCAGAAGTCATTTGGTACACTGTCGGAGAGCTCTTCTCAGATATCAGTGTTAGGCCTAGGATTAACTTGAAAACCAGATTCATCCAGATTCATCATGACCATAGCTCTGTCAATAGATAGACATTGTAGATTATTTCTTAAATAATCCAGGATATTGTCTCAAAAATGAGTTCTAGACAATCCCATCGTGCCATAATTTTGTCTCTGTTGAAGCGGTGAAGAATTTTATTCCCTTCTGCAAACAGAAAGGTGAGCTTAATAAAGTCTCTCCAGTGGCCAAAATCCTGAAGCCTATAGTTTCTGTATGTTGGTCACCAAATGCTCTTCTTTTCTTTTCTCAGGCAACATATTAAAATAGCAGGCATTTAAAAATTATTTGTACAAAAGTCATATTGAAAATCTTATATTATTGCACTTACTGAAATATTACCGACTTTGAGAGCCCACGCCATGATTTTTCGCATCATTCTTCTGTGGTTGTCTTTTCAAAGTCCTGTGTGGGATGACATATTCTTGTGAGGCTTTTAAACGATTCGTGCCTCCCGTCCGTACGTGTTCCACGGCAAGTTGTAGGCTATCCTGACTCCGCTGACCTCTGTTAGAGGTCCTGGTATAGTTTCTAGGCATTTTCTGCATAAAAGTGAAAAATATCAACACTTAAACTAGTCGTCTTTCTGGAGGATTGGGGTGTGATGCCACTAGAGTCACATGACTTAATATGGCGTCACTAGAGCTGGGATCACCGACAATCCTTTGATACGTGCATTGTGTTAGAACATCCCAGTATTCACAGTTCTTTATGCATTAGTCAATATTACTACTTTAAAATAACTGTTCAATAGTTTCAAGGTGGTTATTTTAACACATCTTGGTTTTTCTTTTCATGCTTAAACTCAAAAAACCAACCTCACAGCTGCACCAAGGTTTTACCTCTACTAGAATTGAAGCCAGGGACTACCACACCGCCTTTTCTTGACATCTGTTACCATACTGCCAAACTAGAGGAAAAATTGGCAACTTCCCCCAATTCACTCTACATATTTTCCAATAAATAAACAAGTTATGTTGTAACACTTTGTGTAATTACATGTATAAAAACCATTTCATATCAAAGCACAGGAAGGGTAATATGAAATCAGAAAGGAAAGATAATTAATTAACTTTGAAATGTGCTTTGGCATTCATTCTTTCTTTTTCATATGTAATGCAGTGTCATTGATCAGACAATAAAACAAACGATTACAGTGGGCAATCATATATATTTATTGACCGATCTTCAGACACAGAAACAATCTTGTTTCCATCTGGATTGTATTTTACTCCCCAAACCTAAAAAAGAATGCAAGAAAAATATAATTTACTATTAGAACAAAATATAAACACGACACAGTAAATGCAGTGAAGGAAAAAACTGGTAACCAACAGCAGAAATATTTATTTTACTATGAACTAAATCCCATTAGAATAAATATTATGTTTGGACGACTGCTGAGCTCTGATCATCAAAGAACTGAGGTAAAAGAAAAATTGATAAGATTTTGTAGATAAGGATAGGATGATTTAATACCTGGAAAGTCAATTAAGAGCAGTCGACACTCTTAACTGCAGTGAATCAACAATGAATAACTCAGAAAATCCCTTATTACACAGACTGAAATGTTTCATGAAGCATCAAAAGGCAAATTATCCAATAATGCTGAAGATACTGGGGTGGGCCCAAATTTCAAACTCCATAAACTGCAGTTCTCTTCCTACTCTTCAAATTACACTACATTTCCATTCAAAACAATATAGCAAAAAGAATGCAATCAGTCACCTGGTCAGTATGTTCATTAAATGTGTGGATGCACTGTCGGCTGCTCAGTTCCCATACTCTCACGCTCTGGTCAGAACTGCTCGAAACAAAATGCTGATTGTCTGGAGAAAAGGCGACACTAAGGACCCAGGAAGCATGGCCGGACAGAGTGCCTGCAACATTTGCATGTTGCCTGAAACACATCAATATGTAATCAGAAAAATCAAACAGCATTCTTGTAAAATAATCAGACTGGAGACAAAACTATATTGTACCTGCATTCATTAATCTGCCAATGAATCACGGGCTACCCATGTAACATAAAAACAAATACAAACTAGATCACCACAACTTGCAGAAAAATAAAGGTCCCAGGAAAATACAATGTAGTCACAAACGTCTGCCGTGAGAGTAAAAGTTATTTCCTGTAGCTCGCTTGCACTCATCTTACTTTACTGCATGCAGCTCCTAGAATTGTCTCAAATGAAACAGAAGGATCCAGAAGTTGCTGGACAATTCTGCATGTGTGATGGGACCTACATATATGAGTTGCTTGCCACCTTGTGGAGTCAGTCAAGAGTTTATTAATGACCATGCTGTGTGGTGAGTAACATAGGAAAAGTGCGTAGTGTGACCAAGAGCGAAGAAGCAGTGACTAACCACAAGAAGAGAGCAAGTAATACCAATGTGGAAATTATGCAGAAGATTAAACAAGCAAAACTTTTTATGGATAAATGTTAATAACTGCAATCAAGAAACTAATTAAGTGTTAAATAATTATTTCAAGCAAAGAACCCAAGAAGTCAACTTATAGTCTTCATTAGTGTCTCTCATATGGCTCAGCATCCATTTTCTTAATGAACTCCAGTTTTTCAGTGCCTGACAGTACTGTATATTTTATGCTGGTTTTTGTAGCTGTGTTTAGCATAATATTCAATATTCACAGCATAATACAACAGTGTATAGCGTAAGACAGTAAAATTTCACGCAGTTTCATGAGTTTTTTTCACTGACTGTAAGCTAGCATTCAAAGGCCACACTATGACCAACATCCAGTAGACAGAAGAAAGAAGTGGAACATGGCAACACAAGACACATCCACTTCCACGTATCTTCTACCTCTCACTAAGCACCTGCAAGACATTGATTTATGTGTACATCTGCTTAATTTGTGCACATGGAATAATCTGATTAAAGCTTATTAAGTGGGTAAAATATGCTTTAAATTTCAATTCTTAGGCAGGACATCTTTTTATGTGGGAAATATTTTAAAGAGAATATCAACACATTATTCTTATGGTGATATTCTTAAAACTCATTTCAACTTCTTAGGTTCAAAACCATCATAAAAGAGATCTTAAGCAGCAACCACTACACTTCAATTTATGGTCATTATGATTAATAGGAATAAGTGCAATACATACACATCATAGAGCTTCATATGCCCATCATCGGAAGCTGTCAGAAGCAGCTGTGAATCAGGAGAGAAGCATAGAGACCTGATGGGCATCGCATGACCTGAAAAGGAAAATGTTCTTAGTTTCAGATCCTGTGTATTGTACTACCAGCAGACACCTTTCTTTAGCCACAAAATTATGTCACTGGCTTAAAGAAGTAAAAAAAATTGTTACCTTCAAGCGTGTGGACCAGCTTTCCAGAAGAAACATCAAAGATGTTGATAATGCCATCAATTGCTCCACTAGCAATGTATTTTCCATCTGGGCTCTGAAAAATAATAGTAAAATATAACCATCTAGCCAATTAAATATGGTTCAAGATCCACACAGTGAGTCAGTACTAGAATGGCACAAGATGTTAATTTCTTCAAAACGTCTCTCACCCACGGTTCTGGAGTTCACAGGAACAGACGACGCAACTATAGCTCGCCGAGACCAGCTGCGGCCACCGAACAACGGGATCAATAGCTAAGTGCAAGTTTTACTCCTGTGAATAACAGCATCTAGTGCAGTGTCACTTCAAAAATCTTGTCAAATACCTTTTCATTTTTAATTCTGAATCTAGTTTAAACCATTTGACTAAATGTATTAATTTCCCTGATGCCAACGATGATGACCTCTTGAGGTTGAAACGCGTATGGCAATAGTGTCTATTATAGTGTTAATAGTTGTTGGTTTGTTTACTCTATATTCTTCAAAACAGTTTCACAATGACTGCAAAAACAACTTCAGGTATTCTGTACATCCTTTATTGGAGAAAAAATTGTATCTTTGTCATGAAAATAAAGAAAATGAAAATCAATCAGTGACAGGTCACCATGAGATATTACTATAATTTAGTTCATGTGGCAACAACGTTCTTCAGAAGGAAGGAATGAAAGGATGCTAATGTGAACCATATGTCTAAAACTCAGAATTTGGTTCTGAAGCATAATCTTACCACAGTAGCATTCATCTCTAAATAACATTTTAATAGAATAGAAATAAAATAGAATTAACATTTTGAAATTGCACTTTTATTCACAGAGCTGAATTTGAATATGCATAAAAACGAAACTCCAGGGAAAAAAATTCATAACACCTTTCTCAGAATTCTGAGAATGATACTATTGCAATCGGAAATCATTATCAAATGCGTGCAATATTCCACAGCCATATTACATGTCTGCTCCAGTCTCCCATAGTAGTTTCTGTAGCAGGCCTCTGCATTTCAAGTGCTTTAATAGTCTTTTCAGGTTATTAGCCACGTGAGCTAAGAATAAACTTCCAATGGTTTGGAGACTGTCTCCTTCATCAGGGGCAGATGTGATCAGTGATTCATCACACTTTTTACACATCCAGCTCGTGGATTTCAGTGTCCTTATCAGACAGCAGACTATTAAGGAACAGTAGGCAGTCAGGCACTTACACATCACACTCCAAGCTTCTTAACATTGATACGGGAACCCAGTTACCTCCATTCTTCAACAAAACAGGGCCATCAAGTTATGGTCAAGCAACACGAACTGTTTTATATCTTTCACTTGTTCCTGATAAATGACCAGTTTTACAAGGTTTAAAGGCCTCTACCTTTTAAAAAAGCTGTATCTTATTCTGTAAGAGAACTTTATGATATAGCATAGATTAAACACTGGAAAGAATATCTACTCACATATGCAATGCTGAGAGTAAATTTTCCTCTTGTATCAAGGGTTTGCTCTTGTTTAGCAGATTCAACTCCATACAGAGCAATTTTTCCAGAATGACTTCCTGAGATGATAAACTTATCATCAGGTGAGAAGGCAACTGTCCAAATGTCTACTGGTCCGACGTCAATGCTGCCAACCTTCTCCCCAGTTGCAAGATCCCACAGTCTTAAGCTTGAGTCCAATGAACTCGATGCACAAGCTGAAAACATTATTACACATCCATAGATTATATATCACATTTTAGTATATTGTGGCTTAAGCTAGACAGTGCTGGATAGTGGTATTTCATTGCGTGACAAATCACTCAAGCCTGAGCTAAGAATTGCATTAGCACAAATAATGGCACCAACTGTTCTCTCTGGTTATTTCAAAAAATTTAAAGTCTGTTTCACATCACAAATGGCAACTGGGTGCAAAATTAAGGAGGAACTATCTAGTGTAGGTCTTACATATGTAGAGAATGGTCAAATGGTGGGGGGGGGGCACCAGTTTAATATGTGCATAGGTACCACATAAATCTGAAGGCTTGTCCTCGAATGGTTGGTCAAAAGCTGGTAGGTGAGAATGGGGAATTATATTACTCTTTCCAAAATTTGTGGCATTCAAACAAACCAGTCAAGTATAAGCATTTTTCATTCAGGGATGTTGGTAACAAAATAAGGTAATAGATGCATAAAAACTGTATGTTGGTATCTAGAAACAGGCACAATATTTTCAGCCTCTGGAGTACAGGCCTCACTGACACTTCAATAAGCTCACAATAAGGTTTTCAGATTTGTGCCACATGTAGTTGAATTCTGCTCACTGTGAGTAGCCAACAACACAAAGGTGATGATAGATAGCAAGAGTCAGTATGTTCAGGAGCCACATGACAGAAGCATCAAAAAGCACTTGATACTTACCATGCAAATACATTCAACAAAACAATTCCACTGAAAAACACTATAGGAATATGGAAACTGAAGGGCTGCAGAAAGAAAAATACAAAAGGACTGTGTTCCATGTGTGGCAAACCGGAAGAAGCTAAACATGTGATTTTAAGTTGTGGAGAAACTACAGGTTTGAGGATGCATTTAAAATGTAAAAAAAAATTTGTTAAATTACCACAAATTATAT